CTTCAGTGGTTGCTACAAGGCGCGCAGGCCTTCAGAAATTACAATATTCATTGATATGCCAAACTGTTGTGACAGATTTACTTTGAGGCAGATATTTTTGCAATATTGTTTCCTACAAGACAAATTCAGACTCTATATAAGTGGATGCAACTGCTAGAAACTCCAATTGCAATCCAACTAGAATTGGATATACTTTGGTAGCTGAATTCAATCCTACCCTTTGAGTAGTTTGTTTTTTTTTCCTTGGGGATTTGAGGTATTTATAGGAGAGCATATTTTTTTTAGTGCTCTCACAGTGACTGTGAATCTAGATACTTATACAAATGTCATGATATATCTTATATATTTATTCAGTAATCCAGTTCAAGGGTTACTTTAGCACAGGTATGAGATGCACACATGCAAGCTCATACCCATGCACACAAGCTAAAATTCCTTTAAAAAATGCCAGCCATTCCTCAAAAACCTCCTTTATCTCTATCTGCATTTTCATGTGATACTTACTTTTATAACACATCACATCATTTTGTTTTCTGCTTTCCCTTTGAACTTTCCAGAAGTGTGGAATTGTGCAATGAAAGCTTCCCAAACTACTAGGTTTCGGTGTACATATTGTGCCTTTAGCTGGTCACAGTTTTTGACAAGAACTTGACATTTTCGGTTATCAATTGTATCTGTTACTCTGTGGTTGTTTGGATGAAAAAGAATATTTGTTAGCAGTGCACCGTACTAGGAAGAAAACCACTCTGTCCACTATGTCAGCAATGCTGAAGGTTCCTGTTAGCTGCAGACATCTAAATCAAGGCTCCTGTGCTGTAATAGCAATTACAAAGAGAAAAGGAACATTTCAACTCAATATACCAGAAGTTGTGCATGGGAAGAGTTTGCGCTTGTTTGCTTTACTAATAGGAAAAAAAATATTCACTCATATTCAATCATACTCACTCACTCATATTGAATTACTTCACGTATTTGTAATTCTCTGTGGTGAGTGTGCCTGCGCGCTGCTCTAGGAACTGCTAAATAACTTGCCTTTCCATACAAATTTTTCAAAAAGAAAATTAAATGAAATAGTAAATGTAAAAATCAAGAGGAAGGTTGGTTGTTTTAAGAATATACAGGATTCTTTAATGCGTATGAGACCAGGAACCAAAGCACTCCCCTGCACTTCTAGACTCTCATATCACATCACTGCATTAATCTGAACATGATGTTTCTCCACAATATGAAGGCAGAATCCTGTGTGATGGCGAATTTCAATCTGGGTTCTACGATAATGTTAGAAATAATATTGGCTGCATAACTGATCCAATCATTTAGCCAGTGTAAAATCTTTTCATCCAAGGTACAGACTATCCTTTGGCACTGACAGTTACACTGGAGCTCTGTCTGGAGTCCACTTTCCTCTAAAATTCCCTTTCCTCTACTTGTAAGATGGACAAGGCATTCCTCTCTCCCAGCTCTTGGTCTCATGAACTCTCCTAATTAATCAAGACTTTTCCTGCCTAACGTCACCAGGGGCAACATTAAATGACAGAGAAGAACTCTAAATCCAGAAATACCACTTGCTGATATAGATACTAAAAATGGTGTCACCACATGGAGTGAGGAGATGAGTGTGCTGTAAGATTCTGGCCAGCCAGAATTTACAAAAACAGTGAAGTATTTTAGCTCTCTTGGTTATCCACAGACATAGTCCATAGCCTGTGGGGATTTTTTCGAGGTTTGTGGGGAGTTTTAAGTGTTTGTTGAGCAGCTCCTAAAAGCATCAATAAAAGTTTGAGGGGGAATCTCCTTTTCTCAGGCTGCCTTCATCCCATCTGGTCTTACAGCAAACACAGCATCCCTGGGCCCTCACAGGAGAGGATGTTGACTCCTGTCTTGTGCCTAACAGCATCGCTGCCAACGCACAGGGACAGCTGCAGGCTGTACTGAACACCAGAGGTGTGCACTGCAAAGAGCGATGTCTGTATGGAAGGGAAGGCTTCCGATTGCAGGCATACCACTTTTAATGTGTTTTTTTTCTCCATGGGAATACAAGAGCGAGTGATTCAAACCTGGCTCTAGAGTAGTTCATCGCCAGCAATGAACAAAGACAGCTGCTTCACCTTAAAGGCTGCTCTGGGAAGGGTTGCGGCAGCCTAAATGCAGCCAGGGAGAGGAAAACCTGATTTGTTCCACCTCCCTGTAGGCACTTAGCAGGGATACTTTTAGAGTGAAGTCACTCTCACCAGGCTTTAGAGTCTGTGGGGAAAGCAAGCACTTTTCCAGGAGAGATGCTTCTGCCGCATGAGCTGAGTCACTGTCTAGGGGTGCCTGTCTGTCCAGTGAGTATAAAGAAAGCTTTAATAACAGGGCTTCTAATGTAGACCATTAGAAGGTAAAGGTCAGTGCTAGCAGTTAAATGGAACAAGCCTAGTGTAAGTCCCTGGGCTGGGGTCTCCTGGGACGCCCACAATGGAATAGGGAATTGAGATCAGCCAGCGTTATTACAAAGCTGTCATCCAGATGTCTTTCACTCCTCCATCTAAGACCAGAAGATCTGGAGGATTAGTGAGTGAATACGTTCCTGTGGAGAGCAAAAATTCTTATATCTTGATTATGCCCCAGGAAGGCTTCAGACTATTGAAAACGGGATTTAACTTGTGCCTCTGGTCGAAGTAAGTTGCTCAGATCACTCAGGAACAGTTGAGTGACAGCGTTATCAGGTCTGACTCCATGCAGCAGTGGTGCAAGATGGTACACCCAAAGCATTAGATATGTACCACTGTGAACCTGTCTATGAGCGTGATAGCATTTCCTTTGGTATAAAATTATCTTTGGATCACTCCATTGTTCTTATAATCATTTATATTTGTAATTATACAGAATGTAGACTTTTCTACTGTAAATTGTATGTTTTGTTTTGCAGGTTGGTTACTGGAATGACATGGATAAATTAGTTTTGATTCAGCATGAACCTACACTTGGAAATGACACTTCAGCCATTGAGAATAGAACAGTAGTTGTCACTACAATTTTGGTAAGGTGTTTCCTTTTTCAATGCTTATACTGGTGTGTGATGCGATCTCATTTCTACTTATGGTCTAAATTAGTCTACCAGTTCCTAGGTTAGTGGGAGGGTGAGAGCCATATATCTTAATTATCTTGACTGTCATGTCTGTACAGAGTTTTTTTTGTTATGCATTTAATATAATGATTCACTTGAAATCAGGTTTTTAAAATTGAGTTGCAGTAATTTTCTTCCTTTACTCAGTCTTCTCTATTTTTTACTAAAGTAAGTCTCAGAAATATAAGTGAATTCTTTCAACCTCTAATTGATAAATCTTGACTCACAAGAAACTGGAAGAAAAGAAAAAAATGAAACCTCTAATTGACAGAATTGAACAGAGGGTATAAAATTAGATGTCTGTAATGCCAGTTGATACATTATAAATTCAAAACTGACATTAGAAAGAGCTAAAATTCTAAGTGGTGTAGTTCAGTCAGCCAATGAGAACTGTATTATCTACTTTTAATTGTGAATGAACACATGAACTTAGTAGATGCATTTGAACATCCTTCTTAATATGTTTATTCAGAATTTCAATAAAATTTCCATTTTAATAAAATCTAAATAGATTTGGGGTTTGATTTTCCGGTGTTATTGGTGTTTTTAAAGAGTGGTTGAAAAGGAGAATGCAGTTGCTTCATTCATTTACATTTTTGATACACAGTTTTTCAAAACCATTGTTTCTTACAAATCTGTATTTTAAACAAAATGTTTAACAATTTTCCTCTGAAGTCAGACATGCCCTTTTAAGCTGATGTTTGTCAAAGCCAACTGGCAAAGGGTGACCTTTACCTGACCGCTTTTAAGATTTTACATCTCAGTTCACTGCCCTTTTCACCTGCTTCATTTAGACAAGACATTTTAACTCTTTAGAATAAGCTGAGTCTCAAATGGGAAGGAATATTCTGTGTGAGTTGTTAAGCAATAATTTTTGTAATTTAATATAGAGTTGAAAATAATCCAAAGCAAAGGGTCAAGACATTTTCTTACTCAAAAATGCAGTTAGTTACCAGATTTCCAGCAGTATGTATCAGCATTTATACATTAAGTATGTCTTAACAAATCTCCTGTTGAAGATTATTATTCCAGGATGCAAAACAACCAAACTACTATACAGGAATTCAGAATGTAACTCCTAACCAAATTGTGTAACTTTTTATTTAATTTTATTTCTTTGCATGGGACATTTAAAATATATGTATCTTTTTCCTAAAAAAAAAAAAAAGACTTGGTGATGGAAAAAAAAAAAATATACTTCAGTACAGTCCTCCTCTTTTCAGCCTCTGATGAAGAATCCTATTTTAAGAAATTGATCAAGGAAGAAAAGAGTCCCAAGATGCTGCGAACATTCCTAACTAAGGCTCAAGTATTAACCACCAGTCTAGTAGCATTGAGCTAATTTTTCCATATGGATTACTGTTCCTCTGACTGGATGACCAGGCACTGAACCACCAAGAAAAGTTCTGTGACTAATCTGAAATGTCTAGAACAGATGACGTTAACCTTCAACTTTGCCAAGCTGAGAAGAGAACGATGTGAATAACAAGCTTTCAGTCGAAATTCTCCTCTCATACCAATCCTGATATCTTTGACTGAAGCTACCATACATGAATACTGTAATTTCCATAAATAGCTCCAAGCTTAGGAGAAGCGAGTAAAAAATTATAGTGAAAAGTAATATAAAAGGTTCCTGTTTACCAGAAAGGAAAACAAGAAAGCTTTTAAAATGTGTTATCTTGCCTGTCCTGTTTGCATTGAAGCATTTTGATGTGCATAATAAATGTTATCTTCAAAAGAACTTTTCCAGTCCCTGTATTGAAAGGACTGGTGGGATCGTTTTCAGAACCAAAAAGCTGAATTAATATTCCAAAGCATGCCCTATGTTTATGCAGCATGTCGTTTTGGGATAAATGCAATTATCTGAAAGCAGCACTGCTTCTTGACCAGAAATGTTCCCCTTTCAATGTTTCAAAATCACAGTGCAAGAGAAATATATCAGAATTTGGTTTGAATAAGAATATATGGTGAATTCTGCCTTATCATGCCCATCTCCCATTGACTCTAGTGGGAGCTGCACACATGATACTGAAGGTAGATTAGAACCATGATTCTTAATATTGGCCTGCCAGGGCAATGCATTTAGCATCCACAAGCATATGATCCCATACACACAAAAAAGATATATTTAGCTAGAATAACTTTCAGAATCCTGTTATTTCGCTCTCCTCTGTATTATAGACATGTTGCAAATGCCAGACAGAGACTTTTTCACCTCTTCATTGCCATCTCCACATTGAAGGGAAGTTGAACCACTGTAGATGACATATATAATTTTGGTTGCATGCATATTTTCCAACATTAAACTGAAAAGCTTCTGCAACCAGTCCTGTCAGGCTTTTCAGTCTTCAAAGACAGGTGTCGTGGCAGTGTAAGAAAAGTTTACATTTTCAGCATGGCTCGCTTTAATTTTTGCCTGAAGCCAGATAGCACAAGTTGATTTGCCCGCTTTCTTCAGTTTTTACATGTCTGTGCTCACTTTGCTGTAATGTGGCTGTATGGCTATTGCATAGAAGGTGCATTATAACAAATTAACTCTGCACTTAACTTAGTACAGTGTTTTCTACTTGGCAAAATGTTATGTTTATTTGTAACGTCGTGAGAGCACGAATAATTAATTTTACAGTTTGGGTTTTAGTGCATAGGCACTCGACCTCTCTCTCATTAGCCATGTGGCGAGGGAGCAGCCCAGAGAGAGGTGGCAGCAGGGGCAGCTGATGTGCTTTACTCTGTCAGCTGCAGTGCAGCCCTCGTTTTTATATTTCCTGGGAGAGACCCATGTTCTGCACCTCATGTTATGCACAGCCTCCTGCACATCAGACCCTCTGGAAAGGACAGGTTTTCTACCTGTGTGCAGAAGCATTCCTTCCAGGGAGGCTTGACACCTCCAAGTGCAGAGCAGGCTCATTGTATGGCTGGAGAAGGGACACCATGTGCGGCCCTCCTCTAACACTAAGATGAAGTGAGTGACCTGCCTAGCTAGGAAGAGTGATCATCTCTACTTTAGCAATTTGAGAAATAACGGTGACAAATTGTTGAGGCTGAATATAGGGGAGTAGGCTGGGAAGGCTACTCCAAACTCTCTAATCCATTACAGCCAACTCTGTACCTACTCTGAGATTGCAAAACTTAAAAATCACAAAAATCCTTTAGAACCAAAGTCGATGTACATAAGCTGCATCTGCATTGTGGCGTCCAGCTCAACATTTTAATGAGATAGTCTTGGTGTTGGCACTTTAAGCTTCAAGGGCAGGATCCAGTTCACAGCTGAGTCACCTAAATGTAGATAACTTTACAAAGGATATTGATTCAGTTGCAAATAAGCAACTTCCAAGTACTCAGTGACTTTTAAGATGCTCTAGGATATATTGCCTACCCCTTATTCTTACACTGGCAGGATGACACTTGCCTGTCTCATGCCATATATGACCACTCCATCTGGATGTCTCAGCTAGTGTGCGTTGTTTCAGGCATGCGGGATAAGTTGTTCCCCAAGTACATACGTTTCCATCAAAGCCCACAAACATTTAGGAATTGATTCAATGGCCCATAGGTGGATGCCTAACACTGAGGATATCAGACCTTGACGTAAAGGACCTGCAGAATGGCACTTGGAGGTCAGGCAGGTTACCTTAGAGCATCTCAAATGACAGATAACCTTCATTAGGTGACTGAGAACCACCCTCATTGTTTTGACTGATATACTCTTGATGGAGTCTTACCTCAAAAATTCTAACTATAACCCTCTTTCTCATAATAGAAAATATTTTTTCATTAGAAATTTTATTAAATAAATTCTTTACTAGACTGAAGAAAAAATTGAAGTTTGTTGCATGACAATAATAAAGTCTTCAAACCGAATCCTGGACACTTTATTCAGAAAAAAAACTCAAAACCGCAAAAACCAAAAAAAACTTCTATTGACATCTGAAGTTTCTTTCAGAATAAAGTGTGATAATGTGTGCCACTCCTGTTCTAAAAATGAGACATTTCCTTGCACAAATATATGTCACTTTTACAAATTATTTTTACAATGTTTAAAGATTTTGAAATTAACTTTATAACAGGAAAGCCAAACATAGAACTGTTTGGTATTTGGGTTAGTTACTTTCTCCAGCTTCCTTATAGTATGAATCATCAGTTGTGAGCATTTTACTGTACACATGAATTTGTGGCAATATGGTGGAATGATTTGTTTACATCTATAAAGGTAATTGTTGCAGACATCAACTTGTATTTACAAATGTTAAGTATTGTTATAAATTGTGAATTATATAAGTAAAGCTTGCACCATTTCAAATATCTGTTCCGTGCTAGTCATTGATCATTTCAATGTGGACTTTTCCTTGATTCACTACCCCATAGAATACTATTAAGCAGCTGAAATATTGCAAATATTGCAGTGTTAAACCTCATTCAGCAGTAAGTCAAACCTGTGTTTTACATCAGTAGGTTAAGAGTTTATAGTTCAAAAATGTAGTAAATACAAAGATGGTGAAGAGAAGTAATATTTTTTATTAGACAAGATGCTGTAACTGGGAACGGTGAAAAAGTATGCCTACTGTTCTCAGCTATTTCAGCTGATCTAATAGAGATATTACTTCTCCATAGATATCTTGCATCTCTTATATCTTTAGACTAGCATGATTACACTGACATTGCTACTAATTTAGAAAATGCTATTGTAAGAGGTAATACAGAAAAAATAATCCACAGATAGAAAAAAGCATCAAGATATGGCTGAGTACATGCTATTGATCAATTCAGATATTTCAGGACTTTGCAGAGTGACCTTGCAAGTTCGTCTGTGTAAGTTGTTTGTTAGCAAACCACTAAAACTTGCCTTTCAGTGCCCTGATGTTATTATAATAACATCTGCGTACCTCATTAGTTTGAAACATTCCCCAAAGTCTGAAATGGACAGAATTTAAAACTAGTGCTACTGTTTGATTTTTTTGGCAAAGTCTTTATCAGAAAGCCATATTGAGTCCCACTCACATCCCCCCATCAAATTCTACCTTGCAAATACATGTCTCATTATTTGGCAGGTGAGGTAGGTACAGCAATTAAAGAAATTAATTTATTCTGTGTAAAAAATGTAGGAGAGAAAGGACAGTAAGCAGAAGGTAGTAGATGTTTCCATTAAGTTGTATTGTTTCACACTGTCAGATCTCATTCAGTTCCTGTTTCTTTTAAAGCAGTCACAGCAAGAGGTACAACCTTATTCTACAAGATAATTGCATTATAAGAGATGTTCCTTGCTGTATTTTACTCTAAATCAGTAAGATCAGAGTGTATAGAAAGAAAAGTGGATGTGGAGAGAACCAAAGTGCTTCCTCCAAGTGACGTAACAGATCCCTGACAGAACCCAGGTCTTCCGAGTCCTCACTTGGTGGTCCCTTCACTGGATGAGATTGCCACTGCTTGCACCTACCAAGGATGGTTTTGGACCCCACTGTTTCCCGTCTCAGCCTTCCCTCACAGAGCTCATGGGGAGGAAGGCTGAAGTTTGCTTAGCCCATAACAGGAAAAATGAGGCACCTGTCACTTTGCTTTGCTGTGCAGAGACAGTTGTAGCAGCCATGTCAGTGATGAGGCGCAGGCAGAAGCACAGTGTCTGAGTCTGGGGAGAAGGAGCAAGCTGACCTGGCTTCCTCTGTGCCTGTCTGCTTTGTGTCCCTCTCCAGAATTATTATTTCCTGGTGTGACTTTAACTGCCTGACTTTGGCTTGGGATTTATAAGACTGAATAGGAATAGCTGGCAGTCACTAACTCTCATCTTTGAAAATCAAAATTGCTTTTTAGATGCAGCAGACAATTGTAACTGAAGCTTGTAAGGAGGGTCCACAAATGCAGGATACTGGACAGGACTTGGTTGTATTTCTAGCTAGCAGTTGGCTAAATCACAGTCAAGAGACAGTATTTTTGGCCTCTCTTTATTGTTAACCATTTTTGTGAAATAGGTATGTAGAAAGAATTGGATTTTGTCTTTTCCTCTCATGGAAACAGCAAGCCTACATGAGGGAGGAACATGTGATCCATGTGCCCCAAATCCTTCCCAAAATCAAGATCTACTGCAGAGAGAGGGCAGGATCCCTTGTCCCTGCTCTTCTCCCTCCCTCTTTCTGGCAGGCAAGTGGTTGAAATTAAGCTGATTTATGTGGGGACAGGAATGAAAAAAATTATGCAGGCTGCTGGTAGCATGCAGCAGTTTTCCTCTGAAGATACAAACTCTGTATGGGCAAAGACATTGCACTGCATCACTGCGGTGATTTCAGTGTGTAGTTAATGCTGTAGCTCAGTGGTCTTAGTGCCCAGGTCACACACATCAGGATGATTGCCCTGCTTTTAGAAGTCCTTGATGATACTTAGTGGTCATAACTATGTGCTCAAGAAATGCAGCAGTCTACTGTTGTCACCCTCAAATTTCTCTAGGCATTTGTACTTGTATATAGGTCAAGGAACCAGGTAGTCAGACACTGTTTGACTTTGGAAGTGATCATTGTGGACATTTTGCTATGCTATGTGGTTCCTTAGCTGAAGTAACGGCCATAATGCATCAATGGCCTCCAACACCGAATTACTGGATTGTGGCCCAAGGAGGCATGTCCATAGCAGAGGATAACATAAGGAGGAGATGATGGGAGGAGAAGTGTTTTGGGAATACACCTGAGGTGAAACATTCTTGCAATACTTAGAAACGCGCACGTCCCCCTTCCCAAAATGTGTTGAATTTTATCTGGGATCTCTCTCTCTCATTGAAGTAAACGAACTCCACAGTTTTCTCCACTCACATTACACAAAGCTCCGTTCTGACATCCTTATACAGAATTGGGTCCTGGGCAGAGTTACCGCAGGGAGTAAACTTAGATAAATAAAGGGAATAGTGCCTCCCACATATGATCTCTCTCTTTTATATTTCTGTGCCTTTTCACCTTATAATGGTAAATTAAAGATACTGTTCAGGCTTGCCTATGAAGTTCTCTTGGGTGAATCCGACCCTATTAATGGAAGCTACATATAGGTATCCAAAAGGAAAAAAATTCCTGATACGTTGAAAAATTTTGAAATTGGCTTGTTCAGTCCCCCTATTGCTCATATAATGCCATGTGTCCTCCATTGTTAAACACCTGATAGAGATTGCAAAATTGCTGTTGCTTGCAGCTGATGTTGATGTAGTTTCAATGAAGTAGACATTCTCAGAATACATGTTTACCTTTATTTTTATTTTTGTAACAATTATTTATGTAGGAAAGATATGAATGGGGCAGAGTACTACCAAGGTTAGTGGAAAAAAAAAACACATTTGCCAGTGCCAGCATAGGAAAACTTAAGTTGCAGTATTTTGTGATGTAAATTCAAACAAAGGGTGACATTAGTGACAAGTAGCTTATGTGGATCTGGCTATGAATATGAATTATGTGAAGTAATTTGAAGTACCACTAGAAAGTATAGTTTTACATAACAATTTCTAAAGTCTGAGTCCACACAGACCAAAAAAGAAAAAATGTGACCTTGTTTTCCCAGTGCAACCTTGATTTCCCAATTGCATAATGTTCACTATTGTGATAATATGGTTTACACAGGGAATGTAAGATACACTTTTTGAGACAGGTTTTACTTGTTTTCAATGGCACTCACCAACTAAAAATATTTTGGTACTTCTTTTTCATGCAGCATGGAAAGCCAATGTCAGCTTAATACCATTACTGTCCATGCTTATTGCTTAGACTGATCCTAAAAGACCTTGCAGAATCAGCACTGTTTACTTGAAGGGGAGGATATGTGTTTCCTTGGGAACCTAAACCCCAAGAAAACATATCGTTCAGACTGTGCATCTGAAGTTACATAGATAGTAACCACACTATGTTAGAGGACACGCTTACTTACTGAAGTCAAAAGCATAAACTATACCTTGCATTATCCCACAGCCATTTGCATTGTGTAGGTTCAATCTCTATTCATGCTTTAAATTTAGCATATACTGCACTAAGGTCTTTGATTTAAAACAAAGTAAAATTTATATGCATTCTTGGACAGTTTTTGTGTTTGTAATTTGTAAGATTGATAAATCTTGTGAAATGTACAAGTCAAATTGCAGTGTAAATAGTATACCTTTCTTTTCATACATTTAAATTTAAATGTGCTAATACTATCCATGAACTTTTGATAAAATGTGTGTTGTTCAGTCAGTAGATGACATGTTACTTTTCAGAGTATATTCTGTATACTTCTCCTTTACAGTTTTACTTCTTTCATTATAGGAAGCCCCATATGTTATGTTCAAGAAAAACCATGATACGTTTGAAGGGAATGACAAGTTTGAAGGATACTGTGTAGATCTGGCATCAGAAATTGCAAAACATATTGGTATCAAGTACAAAATTGCCATTGTTCCTGATGGAAAATATGGAGCAAGGGATCCAGAGACAAAAATCTGGAATGGGATGGTGGGAGAACTTGTTTATGGGGTAAGCATACTGATTTTTGAAGCAGGATTTAATTTATCATAGTATTAGTCATAAAACAGGAAGTCTATATGCATTATTTTATTTAACCTTGGGATCACAGAAAAGAAACAGAATTCTGTTTCGGATCTCTGTGCTTTCATGTATTTTCAAGAGAAAATCAAATAGTTTCATGGAAATTCTACTATTTATTCAACCTAGTACCTTGTAACATTAGAACATCCATATGTTGCACATAACTTAAAAATTCATTAATGTTAAAAGTAATGTTAAAGACCATCTATTCCTGATACATTGTAAAACTTAGTTGGGAAAAATATCACTCATTTATTCATTTTCATGGAAGGTGGACAGATCTTTTAAAAAAGACAGGACTCTAGTTCTAGTTTGAGAAATAGAGAATCCACCATCATATGGTAAACATATATAACAAACCACTACAGACAAGTACACAGGCAATTCAGAATTAAGATAGACTTTTAAGATGAACATCAATAATAAAACTTAAGAGCAAGCCTGGTAAGTTCAACAACTAAGAGCACTACGTTACAGAGTGATCTGGAGAAGGCTTCTTCAGAATAGCATAACACTTAACAGTTCTGTTGACACATAAAGTTGCCATATCTAATGAAAATAATGCCAAAAAAACCCAAAGAAATATTTGCAGTATCTGGTGTTACCAAAAGTAGCAAAAGTCAGAGCTTTGCTTGCTGATGACTGCAGTTGCTAATGTCTGCACAAAGTACAGAACAGAATTCTTAGAGAAACTTTTCATTTCAGTGACCAAATTAAAAAAAAAAAAAAATCTAAAACTGTTCAGATGAGAATATTTCCACCAATGAACTCAATGCACATGCCTCAACCTCCCTATGAAAAACTACTGCATACCTATTCATCGATCAACAGTTGCAGTTTTCACAATTCCAATGCAGGGAAAAGCCCAGTGGCAAAGGTTTGCCATATGTGGGCAAAAGCCTACTGGCTTTTCTAGCAGCTCCGTTTCTGCTCCCTTCTGTCAGCTAAGTACAGCTGATAAATTTTGTCAGTCTTCTCTACTAGCATCAGTTCAAGGGACTCCTCAACATGAAATAGACTGTGTGCTGTAGGAGTGTGGGAAAGGATGCCCCAGAGTTGTGTTGATTTCCCCTCCACATGGGCATGGGAAGGTTATATCAGCCTCAGAAAAATCTGTATGTTCTTGGAAGCTTTTGGAGGAACCAACCTCACTTATGTCTTTAAAGAGTGGAAAACTGAGTGATCACCAAGTATGTATATCCGCTTTAGTGACTTGGAAGTAGCTCAACTCTCAGGATTTTAAAAGTCAAGGTTATTTCAGGCTTATTTTATCAAAAAGGAGGCAACTCCTTGTCTGGCTTTTAATCACAATAGCCATCGCATGGATGTCAATGGCTATGCACTGGTTTTAAACATCTGAGACATTCTACGTATTGTGAGAAAATTCCCTTGCCCAGATACAGAGTTTTAATAGCAGAAATTCAGCAGCCTATCATCTAGTTGAAAATTATAGAGCAAACTTGAAATTACACTCTAGTTTTCAGGTTTGGGGATTTTTTTTCCTTTTCTTTATCTTGAAAAATTTACCTCATCAAACTCAAACTGCCCCAGTGCTAGACTGAAATTGCCGTTGGGAAGCTCACACAGAGCTTTATGCCAGTACGGGAGTGTGACTTTTGGCTGTTAACGCAGCTGAAAGCAACAAAACTCACAGGCATAAGGAGCTTGTAGCAAATCGCCTGCATGAAGAGGGTGTCCCCGAATACATGGTCAACACCTCATTTTTTGTAATGGAAAAGAATGAGGTGAAGGCTCTTTAAAGGTTTGGTGGCCAAGTTTAAAAGCTCCTGCACAACTATCTGTTTAGGAAGGCTGCAATCTGATTGAGGTTATGGAATTGACCTCTGGGAATGAGGCACAGCAAAGCTCTTAGAGTTGCCCTTTTATTGAAAGAACTAACAGAAGTCTGTTGTTGTGCAGTATATTTGCTGTACTGTCCGAAGACTCCCTTAGGCTTTATCTATCCCAGTATATCAGTGGTACCAGGGAATGTCCCTTTGCACTAGAACTTGCTTGCCTAACTGCTGAACTGCAACAATGGTCCTCGCAGTAATTTTGGCCTGTAATTACTCTTCAAAACAATTTTGCAACCCAGCTGAATACTGGCATGTGGTGAGACCATTCTCTATAAGCAACTTTAGTGCAGCTATCCTGGTTCAGAGGTTAAATAACATTCATGGCAGCGACACAGACTGTCCAGTGCCAGCTGGCCTTAAGGCCAAGAGCTCCTCCAAGCATGTTTAATGCACCTTTATAGGTGTATATTTCCTTTCCTTTAAAGGAAGTTGTTCTTCCTGATATCTTATAAGTTTGCTGCTTAAGTTTTCCATAGGGAATCGATGAAGAGCATCCTCCTTGCAACTTGTTTGAGTCCTTGCCAGATGATTTACAGAACATCAGGTTCCCTGGCCTATTCCATATAGAGAAAGCAGAAAAATCAGTCAGCCAGAGACTTTACTGCAAAGCTGTGCTCTAAGAGGATGTTCATTTTCTCTAGTAGATCCCCAGATCATAAACACAAGTACTCTGAGTAGCTGGCTGTGCTTCAAGCAGGGCTTTTCGTATGCAGCCAAGATTGGGACAGAATTTGCAACTGAATTAGCAAGTTAACGAGATGATCTATTCAGGAAACATTTTACAGTTTCTAATTCCCTACCACATTAAAGGATTAACAGACAGTTTTGTGCTGGCCAGTGAGATCGATCCTTTTCTGTGCCACATGAAAGGCTCTCATCCTCTCCTACTTTTTACACCATGCCTCAATGTCACTTAGCCCTATCCATGTTACTGAGAGTGGACATGTGCCAGTTTTATCCCATGTTCCCTTGAGAGCCATATGCACTGTTGATTTTTCTGGTAGCTGGACGCCTTCCGGTACTGCACAGAGCAGCTCGGTTGTCACCCAAACCCTGTAGTCGATTTTTCCATCACGTCCCATAGGAAACAGTGTATAAAGTGCTGTGGTGAACGGTTTTGCTGCACTGTACAGAAGGTTGAGGGATGGTGTGTGTTTATTTCCCTGCTTCCTTTTTAACACGCCATTAAAAACTAACAGGAAATCTTGATCATTTGGCCCTGATCTATGCAAATGCCTGCTGCAATAGTCCATGTGGGGTTCTATGGCCCTTGATATGAACCTCATAGAAGAAATGCTGACTGGGGATGAAATACAGTTAAGCACATGTAACAGGTGTTTCCAAATGCACTAACAGTCAGATCCAATTAAATATTCATTCTCCTGACACAGAGTGCAATTCTTTCACTGCTTAACGCAAAAGGTCACAATTCATTTCTGTTTGAAATCTGAGAAGCTGTGAGCTTTTGAAGTGGGAATGACTTCCTGCATGATTCTTCTCAGATAGGTTTATCGCCTTCATACAACTTGTACCAAGGCTAGGTTTTATTCACAAGGTTATAATAATATGTTCTGGAAAAGTAAAAATCTCTTCCCACGAGACTTATTGTATAATATCGGAAGGATACAGAATCCATCTGTACTTAGTAGTGGAGCAGCCTTGACTGAAATGCTGTTACAGATGCAGTTGCTTCAAGTGTGAAGTATCATTAGTCTTTGCCAAAACAGATTTCACTGGCAACAAAATCATGAATTGGTCACACCATTGTTATAATGTTAATCTTTTAAATCTATAATTATATGGTGTACAATAACTGGGCAAAGCACAAATGCTGATGACTAAAATGCATGATTATTGTCATTATTTATCTTTCAACAACAAAGAGTTCATGTACGCCTTAATGTGGCACACAGTAGTCTTACAAAAATAATAAATAATATTATCAGACTGCATAGGCTGCAATTCTTCCAATTATTTGGCATCTGATTGTGACCCAGCTGTATACTGTCCCTTTACATTCATTGACATGAAGCAGGTTTATCTGCATTATGAATAACCTGACAATAGATCACTATCACAATAAAATAGGATAAGATCCTATTTCTCCTCTTTAGCTCCTTGAAGCAGTGCAGGCAACTAGTTCTGGTGTAGTTCTGGTCCTGCGTGTACTCTGTAAGCATTTAAATTTGGTAAGATGAATCTTATCCAATGTTTCATATACAATATGCAGTGTGCTAATTAGGTCTTTAAAATCTCCATAATTCACACTAAAATGATGTTGTCACTTTTCCTCCTCACATCTTAAAAGCTAACCCTCAAGGATCCTTTTTTTAATCCCCGTAGCAATCTGCAGACACCAAAAATGAAGCATTAGCCAACACTTTTGAAGACCAGTGACCAGGTCTATCATTTACACTGTGTTCATGAAGATACCGCTATGTGACAAACACAGATAAGATTCGCAGTAATAGATCACAGTTTTCATCTTTCAGTTAAATCATTTCAAGGAATCCACATTACCCGTTCACAGTAGCTGAAATTTAGGAATAGAAAAGACATTGATGCTAAAGAAGGAAACCATCCTTCCAGAAAAAAGGAATTTATGAGTGAGATGAAATAAAAAAAATATGCAGCAATGCCAGTGCTCAAACTATCCTACTACAATCCTTAGACTACAGAAACCAAATTTACTGTACAATTTTCAGGATATTTAAAAATATATTTTACACGTAATTTTTCTTCATATAGTACCCATCTTGATAAAATATATACTTCAGTCAGAATTACGTAATCACAAGACTTCAGTTAGTCAATTTTTAAAAAATGCTTTGTATTGCAAAATTTACATTAAAATTCAGACAATTAGCAATATTATGATAATGTTTGCCCAAGACATTAGCACATTAGACATTAGCAGAGATAATGTCTGATATGCTTGCAAAATTATGATTTTAGTTGTGTTGCTTAAACTATAGTATCTTTACATTAAATTATGATAAGTATTTGCATCACAACTATTTCAGATTTACAGATATAATCTGATCATTAATATATAAAAATTTTAATACAAATTTGCATTTTTGGACCACTGCACTGGAATGAGTCTTTTGAATTATTCAGAATTATACAGTTACCAAAACAGGTTTAAATTTTAACTACATGAAATTAGTTTTACATTGAATTCCATAAAATATATATTTATCTCAGTATAACTTAGCATATAAAATAACAAAAACATACTATTTTAAATGCATTTATCTGTTTAAAAGTGGAGATGACAAAAAAGCCTACATTTCAATTTCTTTTTTTCTTTATCACACAAGCTATTTGTGTAACACTTAAACTATTTAAGCACATCCTTAATTTTCAGCATGTTGTAATCTCATTGAAATTGATGTGATTTAAATATATCCTTGTATATTTTACTGATTATGAATGTTCTTAAGAACATCCTAAAAGGCAAACATGCTTAAGTGCTATATCTGGAGATGCTACCCTGTAAGATGAATTTGGGCCAACTAAATATTTAGCAAATGAAACCGCAACGGTCCTATTACGGAGATTTATGAATAGCTCTTAATTGTGCCTGTGAAGATGACTGGGCCTGGGGTGGGGTGAATACAGGCAGATTATCTCTGAGGCCTGAAGCAGAGCAACGCAACTGCAAAAGGCAGGTTGTGAGTCTGCGTTACTTGCAGCCAACACCAAGTGTTCTCAAAATATGCTCAGTTACCCTCCTTAGCCCATAAGCTGTACAGAAGTTCACTCTGGTCACAGAGCATGGGCTCTGCTCTGAGAATCCACCTAAATACAGCGCCACGATACTGAACAGGAGAAAGGTTTCAGCAGCTTCTACATCTGTTCCACTCCCCCCAAGTGTATCTTTTGTCTTAGTTCCTCTTACGATTCCCATCTTCAGTACTGCTGTAATGACAGCTTTGGTGTACAAGACAAAGCAAACAAGGCAAGGCAAGGCAAGGAGCAAACCTTAATGTCATGTTGAGTCCCTAATGACAGAAAGGAGCCATTAGCACAGCCACAATACCTTATAGTTCATGCAGACATCACTAGCAGCCATAATCACCATCATAATCAATAACAATTCATTCGAGACTGGCATCTTCATTCTAAAAACACATTAGAGAAACCTATTAAAAATTATTCCTGTCTCTATCTAATCTCCCTGGATTCAGCACACTTTTTATCCTTATATTGCATATTCTGCACAGCTGTTTTCTAAATACTTGCCTTTTGCACTGTTTAAAATCTGATTCATTCCTATTGGACTATCTTACCCCCAAGAGAGATGTGTGTGGTTTTGTGGCATCACAGCAATAATTATTCACCTTTGCTGCTTCATGCTATTTGGAACTTCCTTGAGTCTATGAGCTGGCTTCCCTCAAAGAATGATTGTATGTTATGAAAATACGATAATAAATGACTGTTTCTGGGATCTCATTAAAAAATCCCTATATATTCAGTGGTAATAGGGTCATTCTCATTTTTTGTTCTTCCTTGAATTCCTTTACTTTAAATCTAGATTAATACCTCAAATGATCTGCCTACATTGCTGCCCACCTCTATAAGATTCAAGAGTCTTTTCCTTAGCAGGAAAATCACGTATTTCTGTAATTCTGTAAAATAAAAACCTGCAATATGTATGTTTTACTGAAAGCATATTGAGTAAATACAGATCGTGATAGAAAGAAACACACAGTGTCCTTATATTAATGACATACCTTTGGAATTAGCTGCTTAGCTGAGTGTATAAGCCAACTCCAATTAATCTATACATCTATATTTCTTTTTTCTTTATAGAAAGCAGAGATTGCTGTTGCGCCTCTGACCATCACTTTGGTACGAGAAGAGGTCATTGATTTTTCTAAGCCTTTTATGAGTTTGGGGATATCCATTATGATCAAAAAGCCCCAGAAATCTAAACCAGGAGTGTTTTCCTTCTTGGACCCTTTGGCGTATGAGATCTGGATGTGCATAGTCTTTGCCTACATTGGTGTCAGTGTGGTCCTGTTCCTAGTTAGCAGGTTTAGCCCATATGAGTGGCACACAGAAGAACCAGAGGATGGGAAAGAAGGACCCAGTGACCAGCCTCCCAATGAGTTTGGCATATTCAACAGCCTCTGGTTTTCCCTGGGTGCCTTTATGCAACAAGGATGTGATATTTCCCCAAGGTTTGTGTCAAATCTTTTTACATTTGCATTTCATCTTCAACACTGAGGCATAAAATCTTCCTTCGTTTATTTTCCTGGCAGTGTTTTGAAGTTCATTCTTTAAGAAGCCTTTTCTTTTTTTTTTTTTCTTTTTTAATAGCTATGATAAGGGCAACAGAGAATCTGCTTTGAATTTCATTCATTACTATTATTTTCTGTGTGTCAATGTGCATAAACCACAAATGGCTCTCAGAAACAGCAGGTATACATGGGGACAATTCTACTGAGTTGACTTCAGAGGAACTGTGTTGTTGCTAAATTAGTTCCATTGTGTTACAATTATGAAATGCACACTATTCTGCTGAATATTTGCCTTGCATGAGTGAGTGTCCCATTTCTGCTCCCCAGCAAGCTCTACAGCGCTGCTTCCGGAATGTCGCTAGCTATGAGAGAGGAAATATTTGACCGTCTGTTTCTGAGAAGCCACACTGTATGGCTGAGCTGTGCCTTACGGAGTGGGTGCCTCAGATGTAATATATCATCCCAGTCCTGAATTTCTCCACCTTTTGTGATGTTCTGGAAATTTAGTGTGCAGTAACTGCAACTACTTAATTAAACATAATGACTCAATCATTCAAACTCAAATGCTTCAGTTTAGCCATTAACAGTGAGATTTTGAGAGTGTTCAGCATTTGCCTAACTCTGCTATTATTGAAGGCAGCAATAAAACTGCTACTGGTTAAGACTGGATGTACATTATTCCTCAACAGCCTTCTCATCAAATTACAGGTATTAAAAGGGAAAATATATTTTTTTACTCGACATAAATGTCTCTGTTACCGCAAAACGTTTGCTTCTTAAGTAAGAAAAATGTGAAAGTCCAAATGATTGCAGTAGCTTATAGAATGATTGATAGGGTGATAGGAACATTTTAATCCTAGAGCCAACGTAATCCATGTGCAAAGCCTTTTGTGTCTTTTTTTTTTTTTTCCAAGAGGAAACAGGGAAAGCTACTGATTTGCAGCTACCATGCTTTACTTTTGTTTCCAAAAAGAGATCACCTACCTAGTATTTTTGACATGTTTTTTGCTATGTTAGGCCTTTCCTGAAATAATAAGAAGACTGGGATTACTGTTCTAGAGAATTCGAACTTCTGTATATGCGTGATACATGTTAATACAGTAGACTCTGTACTGTAGGCATTAAGATTCAAGAGAAAAAAACATTTATTGGTATTTAAAATGCAAACGATCTCCCTCCCATTGACCGTTACTTAATGATACATGTTCAGCAATAATGGTGCATTCTCTTTTTCTCTCTCTCTCACTTTGTGGCTTAAGAGACAGGAAAATGTGCATTATCTTATTCATGTTTAGATCCCTCTCAGGTCGCATTGTTGGAGGTGTCTGGTGGTTCTTCACGCTCATCATTATTTCATCCTACACTGCTAACCTCGCTGCTTTCTTGACTGTTGAGCGAATGGTCTCACCCATAGAAAGTGCAGAAGACCTTGCCAAACAAACTGAAATTGCTTATGGGACACTGGACTCAGGGTCAACCAAAGAGTTCTTCAGAGTAAGTTGTCATGTCCATTAGAGCAGCTCTGCCTACCGACTGCTCTTACAAGATGCTTAGAAGGGTGAAATAATGTTTCTTTGCAATTATGTGTCATATAGTTTGTAACTCCTGCAATACTCTAGGTACGTTTTTACCCCCGCAACACCATTTGTTGGAGTTTTCAGTTACTTTAATTATTGGAAAGTTTATTGATCTGTCACATTGGGCAAAAGAGGTGCCCTGAGGGATACTGAAGGCAGTGATAATTAAAGCAGCATTGCACTATTGATTCATCAGGAGCTACAGTACTGAAATGATGTGCAGCATTGAAAGCCTATGATGACAACAAGGGATCTTGCAGGTTTTGTTTCTGCTTACAGATTTGGCTGTGTGCGTTTTGCTTTAGTGTCTTGGGTGGTGGGCAGGAAATGCATTTTTTAATTTGCTGGCTTTCAGATGGATAATAAAGAGAAAATATATCTCGGGGGCATGTGATTGGAGCATTAGGAAATAGCCTAAATAGCCGTTCATATGTCTGTGCTGTCTGTATTGATTACTTCATTTTCATTTGCTTTCCTGTGTTAGTGTGGTTGGTATGTAACCGTCATTGTTTGCCAGCTGGAAAACAGGGAGCCTGGACATCACAAGGAGTACATAATAAACAGTCCCTCCTGCTTTATTTCATGTCTCTAGCAGACAAAAGTTAAGCTTAGCTGACTGAATGTGTGTGTTTAGTGTTTGATCATGGCTCTGAATAAATGCTGTGAGCCAGTAATCTTTCCTTGGAAATTACATAGTTTAGGAACATTATTTATTGGAAAGGTGCAGTTTAGGGCATTTTTAGAAGAAAGGAAGATGGAGTGATAATTTCTTCTTACTGGCCAATAGAAAGGAGACTGTCCACGCATCTTGACTGTTTTCAGTTTGGCCAAACTGAAATCAATGAATCATTAACAAAATTATGGATGGGATTTTTGAATTATAGACAGTATCAATTCAAGGGCAGTGGCTGAAAATGACCCCAAAAAGGTCTGTTTTGAAATAACATTTTATTGCAAGAGAGATCCTCGTAGAAGAACTTGCAAATATTTTCTCTTAGCTGTAAAAAGATGATGCCTTGTAAGCTATAAATGGCATTGAGCCAACACATGGTGGTTGAGCCTTCACATAATGAAGCTGTCCAAGGAGTTTAGTCTAAGCTAGTTTTCTAGATTTCTTCTGTATACACTGGAGAAAGAAAAGCACCCTTGTGCATCCTGTATGGGACGAGTGTCTTATGTTGAGATAAATTAGCCTTTAAAAAACCTTACTCTTTGCATCAGCTCTAGAGGGATCCCACTGAAGTGATGAGGGTGCTTGATACATAATTTTTTAATGGATACAGTTCAGTGACAGGTTTGTAACTACACCTGTCTTCTTCTAAAGAATGTATGACATTACAGATGCTCTCTGGGAGCTTTATTTTTTACCACAAGTTATAGAAACTCAGCTTGTGGTCCCTAGAAGCCCTGATTTCGCATCAGATGTCTACGTGATAGAGGAGACTTGTCTGAGAATTGAAGTATTTTGATCCTGAGATGGCCAGATTTCCTTTTTTCTTGAAAACGGTATAATCTCTCAGTGCTCAGTATTTATATTCCTCTATACTTGTCCCATAGATTCTTCTTAAACTCAATTTATGAAAAGTTAGGTATTTAATTCTGGGAATTCTAGTTTCATATCATCACAAGCTGAGGTGGTAACCACAATATATGTGTACGAATAGATCTTTCAACTAGAATGAAGCGGTGATGATAGTTAAAAACATGATTCTGAGGACCAAGCTGGTTTATTTAACTTTGAATTTCCTAACTTGTTGTGTTATCAATAGTATCCAGTGCTTGCAATTATTTCAAGCGTTGATGCAAAAATTAATTCCCAAGGAAATTACAAAGAACGAAATAATAGAGTTGTTTTCTTAAGAGTTTCAAAACACTTTTACAAGCCATCATTTTGAAGTAATGAGGTCAGGTCTTTTGACATAAAAACAGTCTTGGTCACAAAAATTTCACGATTTTTTTAAATCATCCTGTAAACACAGATACTTTTATGTTTGAATCAATATTTCATGCAAGATCTCTACTTAAAGAGAAGATTCGTTCTCCATCTATGACAGCCATTCTTTCACTTTAACCTTAAAGGATTAAGAGAAGAAATAAGGAAAAACAGTGTTCTCTTTATATTTTTTCTTTCTTTCAAAATACAAAGGGAAACATTAAGAGTAGCTACATATATAGTTGCACGTGCAAAATGTAAAGCGTTATCAAGATTTAGACTGTGTTGATCACTGATTTTAAAATTCTGTAATTGAGGCCTCATTATCAAATTATTTCTAATCTCTGCAGCAGTATAATGATTGCTAATGATACGGTATGTGTTATTTCTGAAAATATTTATCACAAAGCAGGGACAAAGATAAAGTAACATTGACAGACAATATTTGCACAAGCACTATTTGCATAATACATAAAATAAGACCTAGTCTGAAACAATAGTAGGAGAAGACTTGTTTCCGAAGTCTAACATTCTGTGTAGATAGAAGCAAACATCATCAGTTTTGGGATTAGAGTCATGTGTAACTTTTATGTCAGTGATTACTATCTGACTGAAGATGAGCCTCCAGGATATTTTCTCATCATTTAATCATTTCTCATCAAAATGTCAGAAACTCTGAACAACTATTCAATCTTTGATTCCAGATTGAAAACAGAAAAGGGAAAAGTCATTTTAAATCCAACATAAAGAAAAAGAAGACTCTGATACTATTAGCTCTTTTCTTATTTCATGGTTTGGACACAGTGACGGTTGCATGTTCCAAGCAGCTTGATCAAGAGGAACAGAGCTTAGTTTTAGCAGTCCTACTCAGAAAAGCCCTAAATGTAAATTATCTTAGCCTATCTGACTGCAGGGGAAAGCTGCAATGTTTCCTCATATGCTAATGAGGAATATCTGTTGGTTCAGTTTTCAATTTTCACTCTGGATTGACATGTAGAAATTTAATGTTAATAAATGGAAGCTTGGGAGAAGAAAGTGTTCTTACAGAGCAGATGCCTTGTTGGACTCACTGTATTTTTTTGTCTCTTGATAAGCAGAGGAAACTAGATCATAAAAAAATAGATTTAAGTACAACGTTTTTCAATTGATATAGAGCATTATTTCCTCTTAGTAATAGAGGTATTTTATCTGTTGCATGTTTTTAGTTTTGAAGGAGAGTGACCTATTAGATGTTTAATGTATAAAGAATTTGAGATATGGATGTTAAGATGTAAAAAATGATTGGAAGTGAAGGCAGACAACGGCAAGTAAATATTCTTGAAATTATGCCTGATTCATTACTGGTCTCTTCTGTGTTTTTGGTTTTTTTTTCTGTAAATTTAAATCCATGAAATTACATCAGCGGAAAGCGAAGAGAATGCATGAGTGGCTTAGCTTACACTCTACTCTCAGCCACCACTACTTAAATGATGAGTAGCTGTGACTATGGTGGAAAGAGAGGGTGACAAGGCAGGATGTGATTATGGACATGCACACCTGTTGTTAATTTAAATTCTATTCTATTCGACAGAAAGATAAAATTATGCATACAGACAAGCTAAAAAAAAACAAGGATAATTTATCATGTTCTGTTATGTGGTATTTTTATTTAACATTTCTGATTAAATACCACTTACTTTCAAGTTAGACCAGTCACTCAGTAATTGGTAACAAGAAGTGCTTTAGGGAAATTATTCTTACTTATGAAAAGGCTCAGTTGCAGGCTTTTTAAAGCCATTGTCAATGTAAATAATACCTAGATTATAGGATTTGATATTTAAGTATTCTGTGGCCCTTTGTTTTGGGGCTTTATAATAATGAATCTTTTCCTGGAGTGCTCAGAACAGTGTAGGAATGGGCTCATAGACCAAATCTTGCTTAGCTGGAAACTCCTATTGACTGAAATAAAAGCTGACTTGAGCATTGGGTTAAAAAGTCTCTTTTGCAGCATGCATAAGAGAAGACAAGTGCCATCTGTTATTAAATAAAAGCACTGTATAGTGTTCAGCTGACACGCTGCTGGTTTGCATGTATGTATCCCTGTTGCTGGAGGAAGCAAAGGAATTGCTGAATGAATCTGATGACCATGGGAAGGTTCTCAGCCTGACAGCATTTCCTTCCTTCCATCCAATGAATTTTTTTTTTATTTTTTATTAAGTTTTATTTTTTATGAAGTCTTTACTTGTGCATTCCCAGACAGGAAAATTTCCGACTAATGCACTCTAAGCCATGAATTCTTGCACGTTCTTTGAGAAGGCACATTTTTTACTCGATTACTTGCAGGGTCAGAGTCTTTAAAATAAATCCACTGATACTGGGGTACTAAAAATATACCTAGTACTTCTTTAAAACAAAAGCTTAGGGCATTTTGTTTCCTTTAATAGCATATTTGGTCCAATTTGCTGTTTCCATCTTTTATTGTGAACAATGTCTTGAAATGTTGTGCAGCCTTTCTGAATGTAAATGGAATGAATCCTGGACTCTGAATGTTGAAAGCAGAAATCTTACTTAAGCTATTGACCTTTTGATGGTGTAAGAAGTGGGTGTTAGAGCTGACAAATGCCTCAAGATTCAGCTTGGTATTTATGGGGAGATTATTTTATCATTTCTCTTTCTTGTACAGGTTTATTGTAGATATCTATTTCATATATAACTCCTTAAAACACACTTTACAACACTTCGACTGTGTGAACTATCTTTATCTAACAGTAACTTCAGGTCATAGCTTTGCAGTTATTTTGTTGTGACTGCTAGAGGCTAACTGGACCTAAAAATAATATCTGATATTGTACTATTGGTATTGTTATTTCTTATTTCTTTTAAAATAATCATGCAATTCAAAGAAGATCCGTATCAAAGTACAATTTTTCCCAACCCCAGTTGTTTGAAAAATTAAGTATGATAGATTTTATTTTGAACAGTGCCATTCTGAAATGTTGCAACATTCTTTTGTTCTAACTTCTTTTTAATTTTCTCCAGAGATCAAAAATAGCAGTGTATGAAAAGATGTGGACCTACATGAAATCAGCTGAGCCATCAGTGTTCACTAGGACTACTGCAGAGGGAGTAGCTCGTGTCCGCAAATCCAAGGGGAAGTTTGCCTTCCTGCTGGAGTCCACCATGAATGAATACATTGAGCAACGAAAGCCGTGTGACACCATGAAAGTGGGAGGAAATCTGGATTCGAAAGGCTATGGCGTAGCCACACCGAAGGGTTCTCCATTAAGGTGGGTGGAATAGTATAACAATATAAAATGTGTTGTTATAGTATTCCACCTTCCCTGATGTCCCTGATATAGCTCTTTTTGTTTTGTGTGTGAACATGGTATGTTATTTTTCTTTTCTTCCATTTCATATTTTTTTGATCAACAAAGGTAACCGTTTCTAATTGCGATATGGATTTAGCAGCTTTAGTTGGCATATCTTTCAAGGCCATATAAAAACCAAACTGGTTGAACACTAGCTACTTGAAGTCAGCCTCAATAGAATTAACATCAGCTATTCTATTTCATCAGCTTTTTTCACCAAATTCAACCCTTTATAGCAGTATTATGCCTACGTTATCTGCATCAGTCTCTGCATCAATAATATACCTACATTTTATGTTTTGATTTTTGATCTTGGCTGCTAATTTCTGAATAAGAAGCTGCTTGTAACATCTTTTCTCACATGTCATCACTTGGAGGCAAATAGTCCTTCATTAAAACAGCTTTATTAAAGTACTTTTTATTAAAGCACCTTCTTATTTAGAAAAAAAAGTTTGTGTTTCTAGCGTATGCATTTCAGTACTGCCTTCAAACTCACCAGTATTTTCTTTGTCATGATATCAGACGCATTCAGTCGAGTAGGAGAGTTTTTTATTCACAGGCAGAACATCATTTGCTTTTCATTCAAATTGTCAGGGAAACAGAAGTAAAGGTACTAGTCCTGTGTTAAAATTGGCAGTATTTACCATTGTGCTGTCTTTAATGTTTAAGGCAAACAAAATTTGATGTTTTCCTCTGGTAGACTTGCTAAGTTTCTTCAAAGCAAAAGAGCAACTAGCAGATTGAAGGAATGTGGCCCATGGAGTCTTACAGAAATAGGGCATATGCGGGTCGGGGAGAGGGAATGGCCCATGGAGCAACCAGCTTCACAAACCCAACTTCACAAATTTCACCCATTTGCTCATGATAAGGGATTACAACAGGCTCTGGTAAAATAGATTCACAAAGGAGATGAAGTGAGCTGAAGGGGGGAGTTGCCAGTGCAGAGGGAGCCATAGCTCTGTGCAGGAAATAACTAAGGAGGTATCTGTCTACATCCATGACTGCAGGGGAGACGTCACTACCGTTATGCAGATAACTAAACTCACTTTTAACTCACCAATTTAACCTGTGCAAAATGCCACAAACCTCAATAGCCTCAGCTGTATTACACAGATGAGAAAGAAATATCATCAAAATCATTTCCAGCAGCAGCAGCAGATTTGTATGTGCAGGGGAAAATCAGGCCAGTTATTTCAGTGATTGAATTTGAACTTTTGGCCCTTAACATTCAGTACCTCTCAGATTTAAAAACTGCCACCTTCACTGCTGAATAATGTAGTAAGAGACCATAAGGAAGTGAGAGAGGGAAAGTGACCACAATAAAAATACTAATTGTAAAGAAAACATGCCCAGAACTCATGGGATTGTCAAAGGTAGAAGGCAGCAGATAATAGGAGAGGCTGATCTGTTATCTGGGTATATTTTCAAAGCACTTATTTTTTATTTTATATTTGCAGTATATTGCTGTCTCCTTCTCAGTGTTTCAGACAACCTAGAAGTGGTAGGCAGCACTGCAGTTCAGTGGAGATACTTTCCTGTGGTAAGCAAGTGCCCACTGCTGACGCAGTCACACTTTACTGTGCCAAGGCAAACTTTTTAGGAATCGCTTCAGCTGCTGTCATATATATCCCAGCAGTGGGCTGTTTGCTCTAAGCATGCTTTATGGTGCTCTCTAGTCTCTCACTTTTTTTCTGCAGAGTATCCAACACCAACAGCAAGAGACAGCCTGTTATAATGAGCGCTAGTAGCCAGTGGAAGTTGCTTTGCATCAAATTTGGCTTATTTCAGGTTTGTTCAGTTGGTTAGATAAAAATACCTAGGAGTAATGAGGACGAGACATAAAGCAGTTAGAAGGAAAAGTGCCTGGTAAGACAGTTTAATAAGAGCAGAGAGAAAGAACACAACCATGATTGTGAGGATCAAGTGTGAAATCCTGGTTCCATCCCAGACAAAGACCAAGCTCCCATATGTTTCAGTGAGGCCACAGTTTGGTCGAACTGGGGATCAGCAACTATCATTAGGGTGATATGATCAAAAGTATGTAGTTTTTCAGATGCTACCTTCAAACATGTTTCAAAAAGGGGAATAGGGGAAATCCTACCAAACCTGAAAATTGGACCAAATCTACTTTCAAGCTGTCTCGACTGGCTGTCCATGTCCACGCCTTTCCCGAGCCTTTCTTTCACATGTGCTAACTGCTTGTTCTCCTGCTGCACCCCATTCCCTCTCCAGCCCCAGTGACAAACCTCAGGCAACGCATCAGTGCTACTTACGTATTAAAAACATTAAGCAACACACTTAATGTTCTGGACAAAAATAAAGAACAAGCAATACCTCACATTTGTACCACCTCTTCCATGTATGTCTATAGACAGTAGTGCTTACTGAAGAGGCGAGAAGCTTCCTACCCCTGTGGTTTTGAACAGAAAAGACTCAGCAGTAAATTTTAACTGCATGCTTCAGTATTTTCGGAATTGTTTGAAATGGTAGAATATGCTGGTTTCGCTATTTTGACTGCATCTCACATGGTAGTGTTTCTGTTACTGATCAGATGACTTATGTAACTGTTGCCTGCACAGATAATTGCAGATATTGAACATGCAGTTTGAAATACATGAAGGGCAGGCTAGCTAAGCTCATTACATAAATTAGTCAAAAGACGCAATTTGCTATGGGAGTTGTAAATTCTATATTTTATTTAATAATCATAATTTCCTATTCGAGTTATGTGTAGAACACAAATTGCTTGATGTATTTCACAAATAATTACAAGTAGCATATAAATGTTAAACATTCACACTCTATTCTTGGGCTGTTCAGGACTAGGGAAAAATATCAATTTTTTCAAATTAATTATTCATATCAAATTATTCACTAAACGCTTTGAACACCTATTTCACCAGAGATATCTTAGTCTTAATCCTCCTCCTACTTACATTGATTATAAATCAGGAGTTTTTTCACTAAAAATGTAGTAACAGCTGCATAAAATTAATGTGAGTGTGTGGAAGACTAGACCATATATTTTCACACAGCTAACACTGACAGAAAGTGGGGTAATCTAAATCAGACTTCTTCCTGTAGCATAGGACTAGCAATGGTTCCCTGCCATCAGATCACCGGGCTCATGTTCATTACAGAGCACATACCCATCACTTCGCTCATGCAGACGAAATCCACCTATCAGAGTGATCCAAGGACTGGTCTCTCTGTTGCTCATGACCCTATATATGAGCAGTGTAGTGGATTTTAATTTGAAACTTCCTTATTGGGTTCCATGCTACACTCCTGCAGTGTTCAACCAGTACCTATTGGCTAATTAGAATGATTTCTTCTCAGTGCTGGTGCAGTGTTAGGATTCATGTGTATCACTGAATGGAGGAGAATGGGAAATGCCTGATGTGTATTTCTTTTATGCCCACCGGGCAGTACCATGTTACACATCATGTGTGTCTCCTTCCTTCCTTCCTTTTCAGTGATATTCATGTCTATATAATGTTGTAAAATACTGACATACTTGAGAAGGAACATGAGATTGAGGGCAAAGGCTCTCATCACAACAAAGATTGAGTTTCTCTCGTGGCACTACTCAACTGTCCTTACTGTTTCATCCTCCTACCACGGTAGGTATCCTTCCAAAACTACTGTGTAGTAATCAGTGTGAATTAATGAGTATTTTTCTTCAAAGGTGGTGTTTTCAAAGGTGGTTAAGAGAGTGCTGCTTGTCTGCCTTTGTAAATGTGTTGTCGTTAGAAGATGTTCTCATGGCCAGAATTCTGGCCATTGTGGATCACCCCTGGCTCATCTGCCTTGCCACTTGCAGTAATCTGTGTTTCTAGAAGGCAACACCTGGAGATCTTGTACAACACAAATCCTATGCCTTGCATGCCTCTGCTTTTCTGTTTTAGATATGCAGGCATCATAAACAAGTTTGAATAGTGATCAGCATGAAAGAGTTCTTCACTGTAAGCGGTAATGAAAAAGGAAGTAGGAGCAATGTTGTCTTAACGGTACACTAAAAGCTTTTCCTACTTTTTGTACCTAGAAGCTGTTTGATGCTAAGGTGAATGACAGGTTGGGCTAAAAAATGAGGAGCTGTTGTCATTGTTTCTGTGGCGGTTTTAACTAAGGACATTTGACTGTCCTGCATGCACATCCTGTATGCAGCGTGGATGAGTGAAACTTGCTCAGGTCATGAGTGTCTGGTGAGATACTTTGAGTCCAGCTGGATGAGAGTGGCAGGATTAGATCTAGCCAAATAATTAAAAAATGTTGTGAATAGACATATTGATGTATTTTAGAGATTGGCGATGATTGTTCACCAACCTGATGAAATCCAGAGCTATATTAAGTTCCAGCTATTGCAACTATAGTTAATGTTTATAGGTATGAATCTGAGATTCTATATTTCATTATTCAAGCCTCTATTCTTTTTATGTAGCAAAGAAATAACACTAGCTTGACTTTAGGAGGAATTCTTTGTGTTCTGGAGAGGAAGGCAAAAAGGTCCACGTGGTGGTATCTGCTGGTTCTTTGCAGTGTGATACCTGGTGACATGAACTGACTCTTTACACCAAGGTGCCAGTTCTTTATCCATTCTTTACTGTGTTTGTATTAACATGAGGTGGGAAACATGGGAAGTTCATCAGCGAAGCAGGCGATGCAGATGTAATTTTCTAATCATTCTAGCAACTTGTGTGAAGTGCAAAGTACAACGTGAGTGAAACTATGGATTTTAGTTTCCATCCCTTGCAAGGGGATAGTTCCCTGGAGAGTGTTTGGGGTGTAAAAGGCATCCCAATGCTGCCCTGTCAATATTGTATGGATGCTCCTGTTTTATAGATTTGTGCAATACCCGAAAGAGATTTACCCTAAAAGTGAGGGATCTGTGGTGGAGGGAATTTTTTCTTGATGAAACCTGTGAGTTTATGTGAATAAGGTAAAGATCTGTTATGAAGGAAGTCTTTGTGTGCATGGG